CTTCCTTCCTTCCTTCCTTCCTTCCTTCCTTCCTTCTCCTCTCCCTCTCTCCCACCCTGTCATTCTGTCATTTCCTTCCTTCCTTCCTTCCTTCCTTCCTTCCTTCCTTCCTTCCTTCCTTCCTTCCTTCCTTCCTTCCTTCCCTCCCTCCCTCCCTCCCTCCCTCCCTCCCTCTAGACATTGGACATCCTTTGCATGACAAGCCCATAGTGAACCGAAGAGTTGGAGAAATCTTGTCCATTCAACGAGAAGCTAATCTAAATGAGACCCGGGAGGGAAAAGGGAGGTGAACCGAAGTCCAGGTGAGCTCTTACCTCAAGATCTGGCGCTGACGCCCCACCTGGCTGGCTTCCCAAAACGTCTAAAACCAAATCCATGGAAGTCCCTGGAGAACTCTGGCTTTGACGGTAACGAGGCTGCCTCTGAAGGCCGTCTACTGGGAGATGAAAGGGCTCCCTAGGGCAGTTTGGTGGCCCACCGAGAGAACAAGTTCTGGACTAGGTGGACCTGGGCTCCCAACCAGAAGGCCACCACTTATGTTCCTAGGAAACCAGCATCAGACTCCATAGGATGTTTCATATGTGGGGGGAAATGACTCCAAATTCAGAAGGATATCAATGAAAGCCATGCAGGCTTCTTGAGATAGCTCTTCGCTGCTTAGGACCTTCTTCAGCAGGGGCTGTTTGATTGGCTCCCTGGTGTAGGACCACAACTTGTCTTTCCCTCGGTTTTTGGTGATCATCACCCTGCTCAGGGTGTGTTTGGGAGGAGGCCTGGCGAAGAAAACGGGCTGTCAATCAAGGGAGGTGCTGTTAGGTATAACATTGATACCAAATATGGTTTGGGTGAATAAATATATAAAACTTAGATATCATGGTTTAAGTGCTTATCACTTTAAGCACAATGCAGCAGGCAATTAGCCGATTAAGGGTGCGGTTAGAAGTTACAATATAAGGAAGCATTAGAAGCTGGAAAGCTTACTGGCTGTAACTGTTGCTGGCTGTAACTGAGTGCTGCTGCGACTTACTGTGTGCTACTGCGACTAACTGTGATTACTGACTGTGAGTGCCTGAGACTAAACTGTTATTGTTTGCTACTGTTTGCTGATTTACTGCGTAATTCTACTGAATATCCAGCGTTTGTTTCTCTGGAGAGTGAAACCGGAGGAGGAGAAGATATCTTTATCGGCTGATAAAGATATTGCAAGGACTCTTAACTTGGACTATACTAGTGAGTCTTACTGGATGGAAATACTGTGAATGACTTAATGGACTGAATGACAATGCTTAAACTCTAACTGGATTAAAAACTATTTAAACTACAAACAGTGTTTGTGTTCAGTGTGTGTATACTCTGGGGCCCTTCCGCTCTCCTTTGGCTTCCTGGCTTGACTACTGCTGCAATACTCTTCTAGGGGTTAATCTCCAAACCCTAACATTGGTTATGGGCCCAGCAGCATAGTCTAACTAACCAGGATATAGCAGAGAGAGTTGGTGTGAGTTGCACATTACTGTAAAAACAAACTGTTTTAATTAGTTTAAAATAGTCAAAATATCTGAAGAGTAATGGCACAAGTAAATTTGTCACAACTGTCCATGATATCCAGGCTGGATGGAACAAACTATGTTTCATGGTCAATGAAATGTAGTTTACTTCTACGCAGAGAAGGTTTGTGGGACATTATAGCAAACCCACCAGATGTGAGTAGCTGGGATCCTGCTAATGATGATGATAACGAAAAGTTACAAGACTTTAAACTGAAGAATGAGCAGGCTTTATGCATCATAGGACTGACTCTCTGTGATCAGCAGCTTGTCCATATTCGTGGAGAAGAAAATGCTGCAAACTGCTGGGAGAACCTCAGGAAGATTTATGTTCGGGACAGTGTAGGAGCACATATAAATCTTACACGGAAGCTTTTTCGAACGCATCTTCAGAGGAATGGAGATATGTTAGTTCATTTAAACTGTATGAAGAGCATTTTTCAAGATTTGCAAGAAAAAGAGCTTATATTTAATGAACTGCAACAAGTCTACATAATATTATCTTCATTAGATCAAAGCTATGATGACTATGTGACTTCGTTAGAAGTATTGCCAAAAGAAAGCCTCTCATTAACCGAGATTACAGGCAGGCTACTAGAAGAAGCCAGAAGAAGGCGTGAGCGTGACGAGCTGAGAGAAGATAAGAAAGAAGAGAAATTATCTTCAAAGCTTGAAAGAAACCAGCAAAGCAAAGTAAAGCACCTGGAAGAAGAGAATTTATCTTCAACGGCATACACAATTAAAAAGTGTTTTAATTGTGGAGGCAGAGGACATTTGGCAAGATTCTGCAAAAAGAGAAAAAGCCAGAATGTAAAAAAGCCAAAGAAAGCATTTGAACTAGCCACGTTTAGCAACTCTGATGTGAAGAATAATTTATGGGTGGTTGACAGTGGCGCATCCCACTGCATCACAAGAGATAAGACAAAATTTATAAAAATGTCTACAAGTTCTCAACATATATCTCTTGCTAACGGCTGGAACCTGAAAGCGAAAGGTCAAGGTTTTGCACGTTGTCCGTACATAAACCAGGATATAAAAATGTTGTATGTACCACAACTAAAGTTTAATTTGCTTTCAGTAAGGGTATTAGATAAATTAGGTTATGTAATTACTTTTAAAGATAATAATTGCATAATTGAAAAAGATAACAAAAGGGTAACTGCAGCTTTAAATGGAACATTATATGTATTAGATAATAGTAAGAAAGGGGAGGCTCAAACTGTATTTAATAATATAAAGCCTCATGATGAATGTATCCATTTATTGCATAGGCGTTTGGGGCATGTAAATTTTAAAATGCTAAAACGTACAGTTGAGTTATCTGAAGGAATAAGGTTAAAATCTTGTGATAAATATTTGCGTTGTAATGTTTGCTGTGAAGATAAGAGCAAGGTATTGCCTGCAAATAGGCTAAATGGTTTCAAAACAAAAGAACCTTTAGAACTAGTATTTGCAGACATAATAGGTCCAAAGAAACCCAGTATGGGGGGTGCTAGATATATACTGAGCATTATGGACCATTATTCTAGATATGGGTTTTGCTATTTAATGAAAAGCAAAACTGAAACATATCAACATTTTTTCAATTGGCTTAGGTTTGCTGAAAGAAAGTCTAAACGTCAACTGATAACCCTGGTGACAGATAATGGCACGGAATTTGTTAATAACAAATTCCAGAACAGACTTAAGGTAGCTGGAATAGAGCATAAGAAGTCTGCTCCATACAGGCCAGAACATAACGCTTTTATTGAAAGAAGAGGCCAAACACTACAGGCAATGGTTAGAACAATGTTAAATGATTCTGGGTTACCTGATTCTTTGTGGGGGGAGGCTACAATGTGTGCTAATAACATATTGAACAACGTTGTTAATACAACAACAGGTGAAATTCCATTCACCAGATGGCATGGCAGGAAACCTGATCTAAGTTACCTGCACACATTTGGTGCACCAGCATGGGTGCATATTCCTGCACAACTCAGAAAAAAAGGGCAACATAGAGCTAAAAGATTTTTCTTCGTTGGTTATCAGGCAAACCATAGGGCATATAGATTTTGGGAGAAAGGCACATCTAAAGTGTTATGTAGTGCTAGTGCCCAATTTCTAGAACATGAAGGATGGGAGAAATTAGAACAGGATGCCAATAAAGATGTAATTATTGAATCCTATAGAAATCCCATTAGTTATCCCTGTAACTTTAAAAATAAAGTAAAGAGACAAATACAGGATGAAATAGTGCCCATAAAGGAAGAAACAGATTCATTAGCTGAACAGGATGAGGAAGATGAACAGGTAGTAGTTCAACAAAGTCCTCCTGTAAGCCCTGTAATTCCCAGAAGAACTACACGTATATCTAGACCGCCTGATAGGTACCAGGCTAACACAGTGTGCCAGATTAATCAAGTTCCTAATTCTGTTGAAGAAATTAAAAAGTATCCTAATAAGGAAAAAGAAAAATGGTATGCAGCAATGAATAAGGAACTGAATTCATTAAGTGATATGAAGGTGTATGAAAATGCCAAATTACCTGTAGGAAAGAAATCCATTGGCTGCAAATGGATATTTAAGGTAAAAATAGATAAAGATGGTAATTTAATTCATAAGGCAAGGTTAGTAGCCCAAGGTTTTAGGCAGAATGCTAATGACTATGATGAGGTGTTTGCACCTAGTCTTAAGGCAGCAACCTTGAGGGCAGCTTTAGTGTGGGCAGCTAGTAAAAACTATATAGTTAACCATTTAGATGTGGAAACTGCTTACTTGCACGCCCCATTAAAACATATTATTTATATGAAAAAACCTGTTGGTATTAAAGGTGAAAATAAGGATAATAATGATTGTTGGTTGTTAAAGAAAAGTCTCTATGGTCTTAAACAATCAGGCTATGAATGGAACCAGTATATTGTAAAGGAACTAGACAATATAGGATTTAAAGCTGGTTTAGCCGATCCATGTCTGTTTAAGAGGGAGACAAATGGGAAAGTATCATTATTATTACTATTCACAGATGACATTGCATTGATAACTGAAACTAATGATGAAGCAAATAAAATAATAGCATCATTAGGAAAGAGAATAAAGATCAAGCAATTAGGGGAGATAAAGAAGTATCTCGGTTTGAATATAAAGAAAACACGGAAAGGTTTTAAGATATCTCAGGAAGATAAGATAAGCAAATTACTAAAAGATTACAAGATGGAGCTTTGTAAGCCAGCTAAGACTCCAATGAGTCAGGAGTTTAGCAACACTGATGTACAAAGCCCGGAGTTTGATAAGGTGATTTATCAATCTTTAATTGGTAGTTTGAGTTATATTAGTAATTGGTCTAGACCAGATATTTCGTACTGCGTGAATCAGTTGGCTAGATTCAATTCTGCACCATGTGAAAGACACTGGATTGCAGCTAAGAGGATATTAAGATATCTTAAAAAGACAATGAATTATTCATTGTATTTAGAACCAAAGGGTGATTTAATTCTGAGTGCTTATGCAGATGCTAGCTTTGCATCAGAAAGAGACACTAGAAAGTCGACTTCAGGAACAGCCATAATGCTGGGTAATACATTAATAGGCTGGAAGTCAATAAGACAACAGCATATAAGTTTGTCTACTATGGAGGCAGAATTCTCCTGTTTATCTTTGTTATGTACAGAATTAATAATGTATAAACAAATGTTAATTGATATAGGTATAACTGTAGATTATCCTATAATTATACATGAAGATAATCAGGCAGCAATTCAAATGGCCACAAATATTGGAGTAAAAACAAGGAGCAAGCATACAGATCTAAGATACCTAAACGTGAGACAATCTGTAAGAAGTAAGATGATTCAGCTAGAGTACTGTATGTCGGAGGACAATTTAGCTGATAATTTTACTAAAGCCCAAGGTGCCAGTAAGCACCAGGAGAGTTGTGAAAAATATGGGATTAGATTGTAAAGGTATTATATATTTATTCACCCAAACCATATTTGGTATCAATGTTATACCTAACATACTCCCCTTTTGGGTGATATAAATATATAATACCTTTACA